GTAGGTCAGGTAGGAGTTCTGAGTGCAGGATCACAAATTTCATATGTAACCTATGAGTGGCTTGACAAACTTTGTGGTACAGTGTGCTACATCAGTCAGGTTTGCCTGGGAGAAGAATGTACTGGTTCACAAAACAGAGGAAGCTATTAGCTACTCAGTCATCACCACTGGACTCCCTCCCCTTCAACTCCCCTCTGATTCACTTTTCTCTCTCATAGCCAATTTCTTGTGCAACACCTGTTTTTGTTTTTCCCCCTCTCTCTTTCTTGGTTGCTAGTGACTCCAGCACTGTATTTCCACAGCATCAGCCATTGCAGTAAAGTTGGGTTTCCCCAACAACAGAAGCAAAAGTCCCAGCATTAGCCTTATTGGTTGGTACTCATTGGCCAGACTTGGGTGGTGTATTTCTGTCTTCGAATTCCTGTGGGATTTTACTTTCTAGCTGGTCAAGACTGAGTTAACAGTTTTGGAGGTAAAAGTCAACCTGCTTATTTTTTGGCAAAAGGAAGACTGAGTTGATTATGTAAAATAATGATTATGAAAAAAGACTTGAGGTAGCCTACTAAGTGTTGTATGATCCGCTAACTGCTTGTTACAGTTCATGTGTTCCCCAACAGGTCACACTGATGGCTAGTGGATTACTACTAATGGATTAAGATTAGAGTTAATCTAATAGCTGCATCTGAAGAAAGCCCCTCTGGAAAGGGATTAGTTTGCTAGGGGTGTAGGTCCATGATTAAACCAAGGTGATAACAAGCACTGGGACAAGGAGTTGGAGCATGTTATCTGTCCTTCTGCCTACAGGCTCCCCAAGTGTTCATATCTGCCTCATCCTGCAGCCTCACAATGAGGATATGGAGCTTTTTCTGTGAACTTTAAAGCTATAAGCTCGAATGGACCTTTGTAGCCAATTCCTTTCAGGTGTTTGTAGCAATGAAACATTGACTAACCTACCTTCCCAGCCTAATGCTGCGTTATTTAACCTCGGATCCAGCCAACCATCATCTTTTGTCATGTTTCCTTATACTTCCAATAAGCAATTCTTTGGCAGAGAACAAAACTTGTTCTCACATCCTATTTGTTTGGTTCATTTTTTGTTTGTTTTTCAAAGGTCAGCTCAACAATCGCTTCCTCAACAAACTTTTGGTTGACTCATAGAGTGGAATGTATCTTTCCTTTTATCTTCCCCCACAGCGTACAAATTTTTGTAGCTTTTTTCATTAATTATAATTATTTAAGTGAGTCATTGAGTTTAGCTCCAAGGAGAAATCTTTCCATAAATTTTCAGTCATTGAATAAATAAATGAAGTGCATGAGCAAAATTGGGAAAGCTGAAGAGTTTGATTTTGTTAGCCCCATTGGCCTATTGCACGTCCCGTTTTTCTGAAGCACACTTACTCTTGTACACGAATGCCAAGCTTTCCTTCTGTTGGTTGTTTATCATTGTTTGACAGAAATGAGTGGTATGACTACAAGGGATTTTGGAAGCAAACCTTTTCAGTTAGGCCTTTCTGAAGGTTATGTTGTGATAGTAATGGTGATGATCTCAGACATTTGCTCTCCTAATGCCTCAAACAAGGATTGGGGCAGATTGAGCCTGGGTGTGTGGAACCTAATCTAGACTGCCTTCATGATGGTCAGAATCCCAACACTTGGCCATCATCTAGCCTTCCAGCATCACATTAACAAAGCTTGAACTGAATGCAGGGCTAGGACTCAAAAACCTAGGATCTCAGTTGAGACGCAGACATCCCAACTGGAGTCCTAAGCACCACACCAGATGTCCAACTCAAGATGAGTCATGTTACTCAGTAGAAAGTATTCCCCCTATGAAATGAAATATAAGAAATAGCAATTTAGTAATCATTTGCTAACTTTATAGATATTTATACTTTCTGAGCAGAAACATATTGCATCTCCCTAGAATGTATGAGGAAGACATGAAGCATGGCCTATTAGGATCATAACTGGAACTCATGGACAACAGACTTGAATCAGCATTAGACAATAGCAAAACTACAAAGGCATATGGGGGAAATCGAGCGATCCTGACAACCTCTTAACAGGGGGTCATATGCAAAGAGTAGGGGGAATCCCAGAGTGGAGCAGGTGGACAGTAGGAGGCTTGTATCCCAACCCTGAAGACTCCTAGATCCTCACCAAGAACTATCTGTATGGGCACCAAGGACTATATCCCAACTGCCAAGGAGACCATAGGGAATTGGAGTGCTTTCAGAGGCTGAGAACTCTGAGGTCACCTCCCCCATCTGGATCTACCACATGGGATGGAAGAAGTCCAAATGCTTCCTTGTAGGATCCAAGGACATTGGAACAACAGCCAGGAGCCCTGAGCAGTCCGCAGAAACAGAACAGTAAACTTCCTTCAGGACTAGGGAGGGGAGCTTTCTCTGGTCCTTGCTTGGTTCCAACTTTGGGTCCCCGCCTTCTCTAGCAATGACCATCAGGATTGCTCCAGAAACCCCTCAAATCAAACAAACAAACAAAAAAAATCTAGGATAGAGAACAACAAGGAAAGCTTAGAATCATACAGGTAACAGTCAGTGTGGATTCACTTATACCTTACTAGGTGGAACACCAAGATTAGTTCCTTCTCACTAGGGTACTGACAATTTCTCTGCACAGCCCTCCTAAAACTGTTCTGCGCACCTAAACTGTTGACATGTCTTGTTAGAGTTATAAGCCAGTCTAGACTACCCTGAAAACAGCCAGTTTCAGTAAAATTATGCTTCAACGCTATAAAATGCTAAATACTATAATGAAAATAGACACGAGACAGCTGAATAGTAATCCACAGCCATTTTAAGGTGTTAGAACCCAGTTGTATATAAACTAAAAATGAAATGTCAATGAAGAAGTCACAGGATGTGGTTAAGAACTTGCATTTTTTTAAACATATTGGTTACTCAATACTGTGTCGATTAATTCCATAATGTTATAAATTGTGGCTGATGTTCTGTGGGGGCTTTTAATTGATACTCTGCCAGCTCTACCTTCAGACCAGAGATGGTCTCCCCAAGAAGCCGTTGAACTTATCTGGACAATAACATGCTGGATTCTTTTTTTTTTTAAATTTATTTTTATTATTTTTTTATTGGAAAGGCAGATATACAGAGAGGAGAGACAGAGAGGAAGATCTTCCACCCGATGAGTCACTCCCCAAGTGAGCGCAATGGGCCGATACTATGCCAATCCGAAGCCAGGAGCCTCTTCCTGGTCTCCCACGCGGGTGCAGGGTCCCAAGGCTTTGGGCAGTCCACGACTGCTTTCCCGGGCCACAGGCAGGGAGCTGGAAGGGAAGCAGGGCCGCCGGGATTAGAACCGGCGCCCATATGGGATCCCGGGCGTGCAAGGCGAGGACCTTTAACCACTTGCGCCACCGCGCCGGGCCCAACATGCTGGATTCTATGCTTGGTATATGCTTGCAATGAAAGAATCTCAACTGAACTTGAACTGTGGCAATGCAGCAAGGTGGAGGAATCCACCATGGGGGGAGGGTTTGGGGCGGGGTAGGGGGAATCCCAGTGCCTATAAAACTGTCACATAATGCAATGTAGTTAATTTAAAAAAAAAAAAAGATTGATGGTTCCCTACTCCCGAACTCATGGTGTTATCATGTGATCCCTTTTACACTGTCGTGCCTTCTGCTGTGTGATATAACCGAGGGACCCCACACTGTTGCAGAATAGATGTAGGTGCCAGGCTCTTGAACCTGTTAAAGTGTAACCTAATTTAGCATCCCTTTACAAGTTACCAAATTTGGGGTGTTGTACTATAACAATGGAAAATGACAACCAGTGTGGCACATCACCATACTGAAGATGTAAAAGAGCTGGAGTAGGAGCGAAGAGGGCACAATGAAATGAAGGCTTGGCCTATGGGCACAATGAAATGAAGGCTTAGCCTATGTCAATATACTAATTTTGGAGAGGTACAAGATGAGAATTTCCTTAGTCCTTGGAAGTGAAGCTTCGCTCTTGTCTAAACTATAAACCTGTAAAAGAATATCACATTGAACAAAGTAGCTCTGCTTCTTCAAAAGGCCTATCCACCACCTCAGCATATCAGAGTATTCTAACACTCTACCTGAAGCAGGGATTCAATGCCTGCTTCTAGTTTCTATCTCTGCTTTCTTGCTAATGCAGACCCTGGGAAATAGCAGTGATGACTCAAGTAGTTGAGTCTCTTCCTCCCAGTGCCCTGCTTCAAACTGGCCCATCTCTGACTTGCTGCCATTTGGGAGGTGAGGCAGTGGATGGAAGAACTTACTCTGTCTCTCACTCTCTTTACTTCAAACAAACAAACAAAATCTTACCTTTCAGTGATCCTAAAGGATTTTTCCTTTCACTGCCCACCTTCAATTTGCTGTCTTCCGACAGCATTGAACCATGCTCAAATCTTTGTCATCTTTCATTCTGTGCTCATTCCCATGTCTGCTGCAGCCACTTTATCTCTTCCTCTCATCTTCAGCTGAGCATCTGCACTATCTCTGCAGCCTCAGTTCCTGTTTATCCTTCAAACCTCAGGCCATCTGACTCCCATCATCATGACTCTTTGGACATACTTGATTGTAGTGAATACCCACATGCTGCATATCTAGGGGACACTTCTCATTACTTGTCTTAGGTGACAATTCAATAGTATGTCCTAGTCAGGGTATCCCTTCCTTGATATCTTGGTTCCCATTATACTATCTAACTTGATTCTTCATTTTGGGGTTTGTGAACCTTGAATTGTTCCTGCTTCTCTCCTGCAGTTCTAGTTCCTCCGCACCCCTCACTCAGTGTGTGATTTCTTCATGCTGGTCCCAGGCTTGCACATCCTAGTAGCCACTGAACAGCTCCATGTGGATGCCTCAAGTTTGTTCATCACTAACATTTTTTTCTCCCACACCACCCAAACTTTCACTCCTAGATTCTTCTAGTAATTTTTGTCTCCATGGAAAGTAACCATCAACCATTTCACTGGTCAGTTGATAAAGTTAGGCACCATGCTTGACCCTGTCTCTGCCTCAGCATACCCTCAGGGAGTTATGTTGCTGAATATTTCTGTTTTTCTATTTCTTATTGCCTAGTCAATCTTTACACCATTCTGACTTTTACAAAAGCAGCTTTCAGTGCCCAGTTGGGATGTCCTATATTCTAATCTTGTCACTGCAACTATAGAAATCCAAGTTCATATCTCATTTTCTTAATCTGGTCAAATATCCAAAATCTTACTGTCAAATCTTTCTATGATCTATAGGAATTCTCACAATCAGACTCTGGCAATGTGCTATGTCTTAGTGCTATGAACTCATCCTCTTGGCTTTCTATATAGGTCTCTGATTTCTTCAAACTTGTCTTGCTCTCCCATATGCTCTCAAGCAATCTTTCACTTCTTAAATTTGAATAATTCTAAATCACTTTTATATAAAATGGAGAAAGGCATACTTATTTGGAAGGCAGAGTTACAGAAAGATAGGGCAATAGAGTTCTTCCTCTACTGTGTCATTCCCCAAATGACTGCAGTTGTCTGGGCTGGGTCAAAACTAGGAATCCAGAATTCCTTCCTGATGTGGTTTGCAGCAGTTGCACATACCTGGGTCATCTTCTGCTGTTCTCTAACCATATTAGCAGAGACCTAGATCAGAAGTAGGGAAGTGAGGACTGGCACCCATATGGGATGCTACACAGGCAACAACTTAATCTACTGTGCCACAATGCCCACCACCCAAGTCATTCTCAGGATCTCAGCATAAATGTTACTTGCATGGATGCTTCCTCTGAGCCTGAAAATGTTAAACAATCATCCAGTTGCATTTGCACACTTTTCTTTATATAATCTAAGATGTTTTGAAGTTACCCTTGTATATGACTGGGAGGACAGTCAGGCATTGTATCACTAGCATATCACTGAAAGAATGAACTAAAAAGCTTGTAGAAGTGAGGCAAGTGAGTCAGAACCACCCACATTTAATTTTAAACTCAGAATAAGGCTTAGAAAATAGACTGGGAAATGCCACCGCTAAGGTGATACAAGAAGGAAGAATACCGATTCTTGTAGCATCCTTGGAAGAAAGGTCCTGTGGTGGCATTTCCATCCACTTGTGGCTCTACTGTTTCCTGAGCAGAGGAAATTGACACAATTGACTCTGAATCCGATGACACTGTTGATCACAAGTGTGAAAATTCAAACATAAATGACACATAAGTTACTTTAAACTTCACCATAAAGCCCGTGAAAAAATAGAATTCATGCTGTGGAAAATGGGGTTAAGAATCCTTTGTCTCTGAAAACATTTCTGAGAAGGTGTCCAGACTATTGCTAGTTTTCATTCATCTTAAATGCTTTGGTAACTTAGCCTTCCACCCCAATTCATAACACACACCTTTTAGGAACAAGCAATGCAAAGCATCCATACTGTAAAGTGGCACCACTCTTTTGTGTGGGTATATTATTTTAATTTTATTTTTTATGTTTATACAAAACATGATTAAGGTGAGGAGTGGGGAGACAAGGGGAAAAGCCACACCCAGCATCCCAACTGTCTCAGTACCCAGGAATAGGGAAAGGCCACCTGATGTCATCCCATGATCCCCAATTTGAAGCATATTCTGAGGGTTATGTTGAAGTGGTTTCAATAGGTCTGACATGCTATCACCCTTGCCAATACAAGAATGAGGAAATCCTACCATGGTCCATTGGCTGGCACAGTCCACCCCAGAGCCTCCATTTACTGTCACCCACATCATTCTACACACACACACTGATAATTGCAATTGCTAGGTCAGGTCTCACTCCAGCTCTGTCTTCTTCTGCAAACCAACGGGTACTCAGCCTGGCCCAATCCTGCCCATCACACAATTCCCCATGTACACCTTAGAGAGCTGCAGCCAGTCAGAGCAACCCCCAATAACTCCCAATGGGCTGTCCCCCCACCCTGGTTCTTGTGCCTGCCAGCATGTGCAGTGGACCGCTCTGGTCTGTCCCACATCCCATTCAGATCTTGTACACATCACTGGGTATTGAAGGCTAACTCAACCGAACTGACTCCACCCTCCAGCCCTCACTCATGCCAGGGGGTGCCAGGGGGTGCCATCACCTGCCTAGCCAGACCCACCCCCAACCCTGGTTCTTGTGCTCACCAGTGGGAGTTGCAACCCCTTAGAAGGATGCCCTGGCAGCTCGCTCCAGATCAGATTAGCTTTGGCTGTTGTGACCACTTGGGTAGTTAACAAAACAAATGGAAGATGTTTCTGTCTCCTCTGTAAGCCTGCCTTTCCAGTAAAAATAAATAAATCTCAAAAAAATGGAGATGGGGAGAGGGATATAGATCTCTCATCTGCTTGTTCACTCCCCAGATGGCCACAGCAACGAGGACGGGGACAAGTCCAAGGCTTCATTTGAATTCCCTATATGGGTCCAGGGTCCCAAAACTCGAACCATCTTCTGGAAGACAGTGGGTTAAGACATTTCCATTGACACCGGCTTCTGCACCAGCTACCCAAGTGAGAGACCTGTATGGACGGAGTTCCTGGTCCCTTATAACAACGGCTCCATCCCTGGCTGAAGGAAGCATCTGGGGGAATGAACCAGCAAATAGAAGACCTTAGTCTCACCCTCTCTCTGACTTTCAAATATTTGATAGAAAGCTAAGTGAGAATCGGCTTATCAGGGTCAACTTTGTGAGTGTGCCCCCTATGTTACACAGGGCCTGTGCTCAGCAGACCCCCACGTTGAATTTAACACTGTGGTTGCCATCATGCAATTGTTACTTGTAGGAAAAAGAGCCTAATTCACCCCACCTCACTGTTTCCACCCTAAATATTGTTTAGGAAGATGTATGTCTTATGATTTCTGTTCCTTACCTCTCGCTTGCTTTGTGTTCCCACTGCCCTTCATTTCCTGTTCCTCCAAGCATCAATCTTTGTAGTTTGAGAAGGGTCTAATCAAGAATTTTTAATTTTTTCATGCTTTTGAGTAATTTTGTTCTTCCTAAAATGCTTTTAAGAAATAGGCAAAAAAAAAAGTAATCTTCCCATCCTCTGATTCTGTCTCCAAATACTGGTGTCAGGTAGGGCTGAGGCAGGCCCATATTAGGGGCCAGGGGCTCCTTCTGGACCTCCCAGACTTGTACATTAACAGTAACCCTGATTAGAATGTGAGTATTTATGACTTGAAGTCATGGGACCCTGGTGTCCCTCAGGCGCTTTGACTGCTATGCCAAAAGCCTGCTTCCCTAAACATTCACCTTATTGTAACATTCTCTTTGTGAATGAGCAAAAGCAAAGTAGAAAGTCCAGTTGATCAGAGCTTTTCTGTCCCCAGGAAAGAATTACATTTGGCTCATTTGTTTCCCTTTGGTTGAAGAAAAATTGTTTAGAAAGATCTGAGTAATAGAATTGATCACCTGCTGTGTGACCCCAGGCAAGTGACTTAATCCCTCTTTGATTTTCTCATGTGTTAAAAACACATGATCCTTTGTTAAAATAAATTTCAAAAATTATAGGGGTCATATATTCTAACCTACTAGAATACTAAATACAAAAAAGGCTTTCCTTTTTTGGCAGAATATTAGCCATTCTAAACTCCAATCCTGGACTCTTGGGTACTGACTCAGACTTACATGAATCTTTCCAGCAAGTGTGTCAAGCTTAGTAAAGTACAATCTACTTTACACTGATGTCTCGGAGTCCTCACTCATCAGTGTTCTGACTTGATCCTTTCCAGGTTTTTAAATCTGTGAACATTTTATAATTAAAGAAGGTGCAGTGGGCCTGGTGGCGTGGCCTAACAGCTAAAGTCCTCACCTTGAATGTGCCAGGATCCCATATGGGCTCTGGTTCTAATCCCAGCAGCTCCATTTCCCATCCAGCTCCCCACTTGTGGCTTGGGAAAGCAGTCAAGGACAGCCCAAAGCTTTGGGACCCTGCACCTGCGTGGGAGACCCGGAAGAAGTTCTTGGCTTCTGGCTTCGGACCGGCGTAGCACCGGCCATTGCACTCACTTGGGGAGTGAATCAACAGATGGAAAGATCTTCCTCTCTGTTTCTAGACCTCTCTGAATATTTAAAAAAAGAAGAAGATGCAGGAAAGCATTATTCATTAAAGAGCACATTGCCATCACAGGAGGAGTACCACCACCACCCCTGCCCCACCTCTCACTCTACCATGGCCATCACCAACCCAGGGGAAACAATCTTCTCCAGGACTTCTCACTTCCTGACATGTCCCTCGCAGCCTAAGATCAGTGGTGGTGAAACTATAGAGAAATGAAACTCAAGGGCCCACAGTGAAATGTTCCTTTGGGACTTCTCGATGTTTTCAATTACTACGAATGTGTTTCCTTTTCTGCCTTCTACGCCAGCCTTTCTGCTAGGAGCTCTGTCTTGTGGGTCCCTGGTTGGCTACAAGTTATTCTCTTGGGGATAGATGCCACTGAATTGTGGAACAATTGCCTGGCAATCAACCCATATTCAGCTTAGAGGCCTGCTTAATTACTGAAATGCCAAGGAGGTTTTCTCTCAAATAGTAATACTGTATTCTAAGAAAGAATAAAGCAAAGTCAGTAAGGTTCTATAAATCAGTTTTGTGGGCCTCTCATTGTCTCATGGTTTCTGAGTTGGCGCTGAGTCAGATTTCATTAGCTTTTCTCACACACTTTGTAAGATTTAAAAAAATAGGTATTACATAGAAGTTACCCTCATTTCTTGTTACTTCATTCAGAATATTTGCAAAGGAAAAAATTTTTAAATTTGTTTTCCTCTCTGACTCTTCCACGAAGAACTGCACTACTGTTTAGCATGGCCTCATTATACACTCAAACTGCTGCATTTGGCATTATTTTGGAAAGAGAAATAAGACTATGTCAAGCTGTCAGGATTCTAGGAAGGCTCTCACAATATAGCAAAACTGAACAAATCCCAAAGTCCTTTACAACTTGGAGCCAGGCAACTCCCATTACTTTCTGCTGTCGCAGGGCAGCAGTTTTTCATCACTGGTCTATTCCCTCCACATCTTTCTTTTTCACTACTCATAATCAGAGTCATTCATCAGTTGCTAATTATTTGTCTCTTCCTCAAAGTTTTTTTTTCCGCTAACACTCATGAGAGTACAGAAGGATTTAATCAACCTGCACTACCAAAGGGCGCCCCCAGCAGCTTTACTGGACCTCTGCCAACGATGGCAAAGGCTCCTCGGCGCTGCAAAGAAATACACAATGTTTGCATTACCGGACGCTCTGTCTGAGGGAGCACATTGTAGTCCTATAATTAGCAGGTGCAGGAACAAGGCTTTGATATTATTTCTGCATGAAGTTGAATTGTAGATCTTGGGAAAGACTCAATCAATCCCCAGCCCCAACTCATTCCTCAGAATCTTCAAAAGAGTCCTGTGGGTAGAGGGGAGGAACTCAGTTACACAGAGTTTTAAAAAGCACCCTTTCATATCACCAATCAAAAGATTTGATGATGTCCCATTCTGAATATTTTATTCCCAAAAGTCCTATGCCCTAGGACCAATTTCAGTAGATGGCGCTCTTTCCACCTGCCTGCCGCCTTAGTTGGCGGAATGAACCCTAAGTTTAGGACTCTGATCAAAGGTGCCATGCTCTCTCAACACATCAATGGTGCACACATACGGCAGAACTTGGGTTTGCAAACAGTTTATCGGTGGGTAAGGAACATGTTAACACTGTTTGGCGAGGAGGGACTTGGTAGAATGCTTACTCATGCAATGTAATCAATCTTCAACATAGAGTTCAACCAGCCTAACTTCTTGGCACAAAACTGGAAATTAAACAAGGGAAAAAAATCCACACAAGAAAAACTAAGTCCATATAGAAAAGGAAGTCATGTATGAAGAATAATGATGGTGTCTTTATTATGGGAATAGCACAGATGTTTCTATCTGCTGACCTGGGTGAAATCAGTACATAGCTTGAAAAGACAAACCTTCCAGCTCTTTAATCCCAACAGTGTTATGCAATCCTTAATTCTCAGGAAGATATTACCTAACTTACTTGCTTGTAATAAGCATAGAAAAAAAAGTGATAATGGAAAGCAATTATTGCCATGCTTGGTACATAGCCAGTTTCTAACAATTGCCAGTTTTTAACAACTGCCTTTGGAGTGTTAAGGCAAAGTAAATGTCACGAGAATAGAGAATTACTGTGTTTTGAAGGGAAGAGTGGTATGCCAGTTAGCACAATAGTAAGAAAACAATTTAGATGAAAAGGAAAACTTTGGTATGAGGGTAAGGAAGGCCTTTGTTTCACAAAAGTTAGGTTTGGGAGGTGCTCATTTAATTTGTGTGTGGGGAGGAATTGTATTAAATGTCTTTTAATAATATTGAAAAAAATTAAAGGGAAAGTAACCAGATCATATAAGGTCAGGAAAAGCATAAATGGAAATTGTATTAAGAAACGAGATTTCTGTGGCTGGCTGCTCCATTTACAATCCAGCTCCCAGCATAAGGCTTGGAGAAAGTGACCCAAGTATTTGAGTCCCTGTCACTCTTGTGAGAGATCAGCTGAGTTCCTCCTGACTTGGGACTCTAGCCTAGCTTCGCCCAAAGCACTCTATTCTGGCCATTTGGGGAGCAAACCAGTTGATGGAAGACTTTCACTGTTCCCAGTGTGGTATCAAAATGTGTAGCCTTCTATTCTAAACATGAAACTTTATACAATGATATCAAACAAACAAATCTCCCTCCCCCTCAAAAAGCTCCTTCATATTGATGACTGCTCAGCTGTTGGAAGGTGAATTATGTTTAGTTTTTAGCAAATCTTTATAATGTTACAGCAAAATTGTTTTCAAGGAAGGAAAATAACAGACCATCATTTGTTCAACCACCATGCATTTTTTTAAATGTATTCCATTTATTTGAAAGGTAGTATTAGAAAGGGGACGAAAACAATGAAAGATCTGCTATTTCACTCCCAAATTGGCCACAATAGATAGAGCAGGGTCAGAAGAAAATCACGACCCACATTGGTGTCTCCCAGGTGGGTGTATGGTTCCAAGCACTTGGGCCATCCTGCTGTCTTTGCAGGTGCAGTAGCAGGGAGCTGGATAGAGGTGGGGCAGGAAGGATGCCAATGGAATTTGCAGTGGGATGCAGGTGTCTCAGGCCTGGGCTTTACCAGTCACACCACAACACCAGCCCCTCAACCATTACAGTTGTTACAAAAAGCCATATTGTTTCTGCTAAGAAAATCAATTCGTTAAAGAAAATTTACTATTCTATTGGTGAGGTAGAAAATAAGGATGCCCTTATTATGTTTTTTTCTGCAATAAACTACTGCTGTCCTAGTCTTTCATGGACAGGAACAGACAGAAAGCTGTCTTAGAGATGAAGCAACTGAAATGGACAGTAGGTTCCCTGGTTGATTTTCTAACACAGAACAGCATGTTGTGAAACTTGTTCTGTTAGTCTTTTCTCTCTCTTATGAAGAGGGGAGGAATTCTCTGTATAAAAGCAGTGTTATTCTCTCTAGTTGGAGGGAGAAACTACGGAATTTGATATGATTAACTATTAGCAGGAAATTATCTTTCAGTATACATTGTCCACATCTATCGCAAGAAGAAGAAATCTCAAGAATGGGCACAGTTAATAAAAGCTGGCTCTGAATTATCTGTACAAATGTGCCCTTAATGTCCTATGCACACTTTATCCTTCCTAGTTTAGAAAGAGGCTAAGAAAAGTTTTAAACAACACAGTCTGCGTGTTTTACCCTGAGACCTTCCCAAGTTGAGTTTCTACTGCTGTTAAAAAGTCACAGCACCAAACAGAAATAATCTATCTTCTCTTAAATGAACAAATGTCATGGTGGTTAAAGAAATGGTAGGGGTGCAGAGAAGTTGGCAAGAAAATGCTGTAAAATTAGCTGCAACCCAAATATGATGCCAGATCGACAAGAGCCACCTGTTACTTCAGGAAGGGCTTTGAAAAGCTGAAATGAGATGGAAGTGACCTTAAAGATCAGTTTCCTGATTATAAATACTTAAAATACATGTATAAAGTGTAGGAAGACATGTAATTACTCATTTCTACAGGCATGGAAGTAGGTGCTTTGTAACTGATCATGGTTAATAACTACCCGGACTTATCTAGTGTCTTAATGTATCCTCACAACAACCCTGCTGTTTTATTGAGTGTTTAAGGGAAGTCACACAATAAGAGACACATCAAAAATCACACAGTCGGCCCTACTCAAGCTCATGCTTTCAAAAGCTTTGCAAAACTTCGCAGCGTAAATGTGTGTTGTGGTCTCTGTAGAACTTGACTTTTAAAAGTTAGAATAAATCACAAGGAACCTTCCAAACAGTTTAGAATTTGCCATTGGAAATTGCCAAGACCTCAAATGACCCATTAGTGTGCAGCAGAAAAGATGGAAATGTATGTTTACATGAAATGCTAAGGTGGAAAATGAATGATTTTGCTTAGTCTATGCAAAATCGGAGACCTTAGTCAAGTTTGTGTCAAGATGGACTAAACAATGTTTTGCTAGGTCACACTTTGAACTTCCTTTTTGGTAAAAATGTGATACATGTTAAGGATTATCTTCAACAAGTCAAAGAGGAAAGGCCTCCCTTCACTGAGCCCCCCAAATTGGGTTATGCAATAAAACTAGAGTATTGTGGCTACAATATTGTGCCTCCGATACAAAGAAATGTGAATGCCTGCGAGGCAAAATTGGGAGTGCAGATTCCAAAAACTACTGCGACTTCAAGTGATTTGTTTTGTGATCTTCAAATGAAAAGTTGAGACATAAGAAAAGAATCTGTAAAAGAGAAGTAAAACAATCCAGCCATAGAAGAGAAAGCTGCAGTGGATGCGCGCACTAGGTTCGGGAACATGGGGGGGGGGGAGGGGAGCGCACGTTCTTTACTGGGAATTTAGATCAACGCACGGGTGTAAATTTCCTCGAAAAAGGGAGGCGAGATTTGAAAGTGCAGGTTTCTTACTGGAAGAGGAGAGGGGTCATTGTAGGGGGGGAGGGGAACTCTTTCCCTCCCCTTCCCAGCCCACGTGGCCAAAGTAAACAGAAGGTGGGCAGGGGCGGAGAGAGCGGTCAATTTCCTAATTTGTCAAGTCTTGGAAAACACAGGCCCCCAAAGCAGAGGGCAAGCCCTCTGTAATGGTGCCGGTGCGCAGCCACCAGCGTGCTAGGAGAGACAAGGCAGAGGGGCGCGCAACACAGAACGCGATGGGGATGCAGTTAGGTGCAACTGGGTGGTCGAGGGCGGGTCAGGGCCAGACCAAGGGCACAAACAAGTGAGGCCCTACCTGCAAACAAGGGCAAGGCTGGCGCGGACGCCGAGGCCCTGGTGCGCATGGGGTGAGGAGGGCAGAGGTGTGAGCCGAGACCTCCAATGTGGTTGGGCAGTGTGGAACTTACTCCCGCAAAGTTTGCAAGGGAAATTTGACATCAGCTGTCCTTGCCCAGGAGCCCACACCAACTTCCGCTTCGGTGCCTGGCCCGCCGCTCCCTCTAACCCGGTGATGAACCCTAGCTGGGGGTCCCCGGTCCCTGGGACCTAGCCGGTCCTCCCGCGCTCACTGGAGCGTACCGCTCTCCGCCCTCCACGCCGGGCTACACGCTCGTCCAATTTGTACCGCCCGGCGTGCTGCGGCGCCGGGTGCCCAGAGGCTTGCCGCCGATTCCCGGGAGCTGGAGTTGAGGGACCCCTAGGGCGGCCGCAGGAGCTGGGCGGAGAAGCAGGAGGCCGTGGTGGAGGATGAGCGCCAGGCAGAGGAGGAGGAGGAGGCGGTGAGAGGAGAAGGAGGAGGAGGCTGGTGCGGAGGAGGCGGAGGCGGTGGCGGTGGCCCGGGCGGAGGAGGAGGCGAGCCAGCGGCAGCGGGGAGAGCTCGGGCGGCCGCCGCCGCCTCCTGCGAGCGCCGCGCGCCCAGGCCCGGCTCGCATGCGAGTCACGTCCGCCCCCTCGGCGCGGCCGCCCCGAGACGCCAGCCCCGCCGAGTGATGAGAACAGACGTCAAACTGCCTTATGAATATTGATGCGGAGGCTAGGCTGCTTTCGTAGAGAAGCAGAAGGAAGCAAGATGGCTGCCCTTTAGGATTTGTTAGAAAGGAGACCCGACTGCAAGTGCTGGATTGCTGCAAGGCTGAGGGACGAGAACGAGGTCAGAGCGCTTCTCTTTCGCTGCGAAACTCTCCCTTTCCTCCCCCGCTTGCTTTCTCTCGGGCTTCCAGGGACCGGGGAGCCAACCCTGGAGTGTCACCCACAAATAATACCAAGAGGGAAGAGGGAAGCTTCACAAATTACTGGAGCCTCCTCAACATGGCTGACAAATATAGTTTTAATCCCCCCCCCCTTTAAACCTGCAGTTCAGTGTTCCCTTCCCTCCTCCGCTCCTGCTGCCCCCTTCCCCAAAACTTACCTTTGTGCCCCCCGACTCGCCGCCTGCCCGACCTTTTTAAGATCTGGAAAGTGGGGTTTCTGGGTTTCCCTCTGAAATAGTTCCCTCTGGGGGAGGGCACTACTTTTCCCTTTAATCCTCTCCCCCCTCTGCTGCTGGCGAGTGGAGCGTGGTTCCCCAACCGCCCCGGAGAGAGCACTGACGGCTATGTTTGGTGTTTCTTTTTTTCTTTCTTGTTGTTGAAAGCCCTTTTTCTCGGCTTCAGGAGCTGGGACTGGGGCTTGGCTTGCGTCTGCCCCTTCCTTGTCCCCATTTTTGGGGTGCTCTGGGTGAGTGTCACGGTGGCAGAGTGGGGAGACGCACAGGATGGCTCTGTGTGTGTGTGACTGTGAGAGTGTGTGTGTGTGTGTGTGTGTGTGTGTGTTTTCCTGGAGTCCGCGCGTTTTGTTAGTTGCCGCTGAGTGCGCTAGGAGAGAGGAGTTGCTGGGCTCCCCCCACACGCGACGGGGATCCACTTTTTCTTCAGTAGACACGAGATCTGATCCGGGCTGCGCCTGCTAGCCTGAGCAGTGTGCGTTCTAGAATGGGTGGGCAAATCTGTGTCTTGGCTTTGTGCTGCTCCCCGGTCAGTGACAGGCAAAACACAAAGGCAGGCGCAGGCCCGGGGAGGGGGGCTAGCCGCCAGGAGGGAGAGTTGCAGCAGACAAGGTCAGGGGTACCCAAAGCAGCGAAACCCAATCCTGGCACCCAAGTGCGGGATAGTTTGCTAACAGTCCCCTCCAAATTCCTGCCTCCTTTCTTTGGTCTGTGATTGCTCTGTCTGTTCTCTACTCTTTCCTCCCTCTGCAATCACCCCCCTCCACACACACACACACACACACACACACACACACACACACACACACACACACGCGCAGTCATGCCTGGCTAATGTTCTGTAGTTACCTATGACAATCAAGTGTGGCCTGGACTCCTGGAAAAGTCGGTTACATTTTCTGGCTTACAGTGGCTAGTTTGTGCGCTCGTGGTATACTTTTAGTTGCATTGTTTTCCTCCCCTTTCTGATGCTTAGGAACTGAAATAGGTTCCTGTCGCTTCCCTTTCCCCCCGTTATTTGCTTGAATTTTACTAAAATGTTTGCATGACTCTGGAGTACATGCTATCCATGAATTTGAAAATCCCTCGTCACACGCTGTACTTTTCTCTAATGAGGGACTCTAGTGGCAAATGTGATTCAACTTTTCATCAACGAAATTAGCCAGCATAGGAAATAAGGTTGTATGTTGGGATAGTTGGGAATCCCAGAGAAAAAGACAGCGGTTTGGCTTGGTTTAAGACTGCCTGTATTGTTGTCTGTCTAATGAAATTCCATTTGCATCCTAATAGTTGAAATACTGAAAGCTAGTTATGGGTTTTTTTTGTATGTTTGTATATACATCTCTAATAGGTTTGAAATAGAATACATTCTTCTTTAAAAATGTTAGTGAAGGATTGGAGGTTTAGTGAAGCATAGCGGTATTTTGACCATTTGAAGACAGATTGAAGTAAAAGAATAGTAATGGACAAACCTGGACCAAAACACATTTTTTTAAAAGTTATCCTCAATAGTTTACTGTGTAGGGACATCTTTCTTTTGATCCTTGGAAAAGCAGTTAAGGCTTTAGTCATTGATAGGTTCTTACTCATCATTACGAGGAGAAGCATTACTCATCTCTGGAAGAGAAGCAGGTCATTGGTGAGTTCTTATATGCCCTAAAATAATAGAACATGTAGCATTTTAGCATAACTTCTGGCTACTGGTTGGGAAAACTAGTTACCTGTCCAGCTACTCAGGATTAAAAATAAAGCAGTTGCTTTTGATACTAGCCTATTGTTGATCTAACTTGTAAGGGACAACTTTCCAAATGTTATATTGTCTTCAGGTATTCAATTAATAATTGATACAACATTTCTTAATCAAGTGGATCTGAGTTGCATAATATTCTTAAACACTGAACCACAACAATAATGTTCATTGTTAAATTAATCGTTACTGAGGAATGATCTTGGAGTGAAGAAAGTCTCCTGTTTTACCAAGCCCTTCTTAAAGGGTTTTGTTAGAGCTGGAATTGTGCTGGTCCCTGTCAGGAGCCAGAGGGATTGATAGGATTTTGATGTAGTGATAGAAGGATGTAGAAATTGACAGGTCAACATCACTTCCAGAACAAGTGAAATGCACCTGCTGAGGAGTTTGGACAGACTTCCAAAGTCCTTGTTGCATACTGGAATTATATTGGGTAACAAAACCTGAAGTCAGTGTTTTGGTTTCACTTGTGGAAGTTAGAATTTCCCTATCAATTCCTCCAAGACTCCACCCACACACAATATTGTTAGAAGCCAAATGTCACCATTGAAATGTGTTTCCTTATTTGCTGACCTCATTAACAAGTTCTTGTGATTCACTCAAAGACACACCTAGTACAAATTCTTACTTTCCGCCCTGCCCAGATCCAAGTTAGTAAATTCTTGTGTATCTTTTGAAATACTTTCAAATATGTGTAACATTGTGAAATGTCAGTGCTTTAAAAAGACTAATCTTTAGAAAGTATTAGATTTGCTTTTTAATGTTTTTCTTCTAGTGCAAGTTCAATTGTTGTATCAGAATTCCGTAGGCTCATAGCTAGGCTTTTGTTTACTATCACACAAGTAGACAAAAACCATTGCACCAGCTGTTTGCATTGGTACATGAAAGCAATATGTTCTCAGTAGTAATGAAGCCAGTACCTGCAGCAGGAATATATACCACCCATGCCACCCTTATAATTAGAGTCTAACTTTTGGAGAGTCCAGTTGCCAGGTAGAGCTGGTGGTATCTTGCACTGAAGAACAGAACCATGATTTTGCCAAATATATCTCCCAATTTCCACTTGTTCAAGGAGGTTGTATGGAACCATTTGGTGTATAATTGGAAAGAAGAGTACCAGAAAGGGAAGACATGCAAATTATTGTGACTACAAACCAAAAAGAATTGTATATATCTGGCATTATCATAACCCCACATTGTATACTGCAAAGAACCTGTGATTTGAGAGATATTTGTAGGGGACATGTACAATGGCTCCATTAGTTAATCTTCCCGCTTCAAGCGCCAGGATCCTATATGGGCTTCAGTTCCTGTATGGGTCCTCCACTTCCCAACCAGTGTTCTGCTTGTGGTGTGGGAAGACAATAGAAGATGGCCCAAAGTCCTGGGACCCTGCACCCACATGGGAGACCTGGAGGAGGCTCCTTCAGATCATCTCAGCTCTGACCATTGCAGCCACTTGGGGAGTGAACCAGTGGATGGTCTGTCTCCTCTGTGTAGATCTGCCTTTCCATAAAAATAAATCTTACAGGAAAAAAAGAGCTTATGTGTGTTCTGATCATTCCTCCACTGTTATGACATAGTTCCAAGTGTCCTGCTTCAAATAGACATACGTAGTAGGTGAAGTTTCAATTTTGGAACTCGGTGTTTTACACTCAATAGAAAGCTAAATTGGGATGAAAATTTTTGAAGGACAATTACAGACACAATAGCAACTGGGGATATCTTAATTTTGAGATTCAGTCAATGGCATAGAACTAGTCTAAAACACATTGTCATTAACTAGAAGATATGATTCTATCATGTATAGTCTTGGTAATGGTGATAGTGACAGTGACAAAGTCCTTAAAAGTCATCCACTGAAACTATTGGTTCTCAAATTTACGCTGGACCTTATCATTTGAAAAGCTTTGTGAAACTGTAAATGGAATAATATGATGTATCTCTTGCCAAAAAAAAAAAATCCAATGTACAATCCAAATGTCCTCAATGGTAACCTTTTGCAAAATTTGGTGTAAAATCACACCTGGTCCCTGTTACTAACAATCTCTCCCAATTTTAATTATCTAGTTCTTTTTTTTAAGGACCATGATTGTCTATCAGTATTAACACTGTCAGAATGGTAAACGATACTAATACATCCACAGAGTGGAATACTGCACATCAGTAAAGGAATTCTTTACTGAAACAGGAACATGTATGATTCATATTTATACGACTAAAAGTAGCTTATTCATATTTTGGGGCTGAGGGAGTAGGAAGGGGGAATTGTATTACTTAAAAGGATGATTTACATAAGTTGTGTCAGTAAAACTGTTGCAGAACTGCTTATCATTTGGTACTTTGTAGCCTTGTGGGGCTATGGCTGCAGTGAGTTATGCACTTGGGTTGCCTATTTCTAAATGGGTCACATGAAATTGCTCTCCTGATCCCTGGACAAAGTGGGAAGGGATGTAGAATGATAGTGGCACTCTCATGGACACTCCTTTTTGAAATTTTGAAAACAGTCTTTACAGTAATACGAATGAAATGGCCGGTGAGTGAGAATTTTAGCACCAGTCCCTACGAAATTATGACTTGCAGGTCAAATGTTGGGTTCGTAATACTTGAATTTGTAAGCTTACTTAATACTAGATAACAGGCAAATGCTGCAAATGTTGGATTGCTGCACATTATTCTGTATCTTGAGCATGACTGATAACTGGGGTGGGGAGCAGTCACTGAGCTGGATGCATTGGACTTTAGGGTTCAGGGACAATTATAACAGATTACACTCAATAAGGAAGTATTTTGGCTTCATATTACAGCGATTACCACTTTATGTACTGATTTCAGAATTCTACTTTTATGATTGATCATGGCCCTTACTTGGAAGTTCATTGTCTGCATATGTACATGAAAAGCACAAGCTGATTGGTGATTGTTAGCAGAAACAGGTTCCTAGCAGAGAAGGGAGAAGCTCACTTGCTATTATCCTTTTTTGTTTCCTCTAATACTTCTGTGAGCTGCTTCAGCTGTCAGTGGCTTTTGGTATGAGTTTTCAAGTTTATTCATTTTGATGGATTGTGATATCTTTGTTCTTTGATTTACAGTCAAGAGTCCCTAAATCTGTTCACAGAAATTAGTAGTATTTTGATAAACTGATTTTTAATTTTGCTTTTTATAGATAGATTTCTGCACCATATGCAGAAGGAAAAAAATTTAGGTCACAGGTTTTGCTGGTGAACTGCTACAGAGAATTGCCTGTGGTCAGGTCTAGAGCTGCAGGCAATCTGCTGCTCAGGTGTGCCCTCTG